AAAATTTATTCCCCGACACTTTTTGTCCCATCGATTAAAGCATTTGAGAACTCCCTAAATCAAGATTGAAATAAAAAATATTATAATAGTAAATTTCCGTGGAGTTAGATATTGTTTATCGGTCTCGTCACAATTCATAAATGATTTTTTCTACACATCAAATATATTTACGCAAATGTAAAGTTAAATATTATATAATATAAATAACATCATCAAAAGTAGATAAAACTTATTGAAAGTATAAAACCATTTCAAAATTTTGTTTGGAATCATTCATATAACCTGTAAGATGGTTCTCGTAATGAAGATAAACTAGTTGTATTGTCAGATCTCATAGGCAGAAATTTAGAGCATCATTTGTCATAAACTGAATTTTCTAAGCATCGATGAATTTTTTTTTCTAATTTATAAAGTTTCTCATTTACTTTTCTTGGAGTTTTCTATGTACAGTACCTTTTGAATATTGTCAAATACAGAAATATAAACCCCAATATTACGATTTTAATTTTTTTTTATATAATCAATGCTCGGTGAATGTTTCGATTATCGCTGTTTGCAAATTGATGTGACTTTTAGATCGCTGTACACTCGATTGTTTAATTGTAATCGATTGCAATCAATTGTACACGATTGTACAGTCCGGACAGCAAGAAACATCCAATTTTTTTTAAAAGCGCCAAATTTTGAGATTTATACTCAAATACGATTGGCTATTTTTTGTGTAACAAGATTCTGATTGGTTAAAAATCTTAACCCCAATTTTTTTATATATTAGACGCCAAATTTTTTAATTACATATAAACTTTAGGCTCTAATAACTTTTTATATTTATAACAAAAATAAATATCTGTCTTATAAAATTGTAGCTTACTAAAAGCAACAAATTTGTAAGACAGATTTTTTTTAAAGTCATTTGTTTTATATTTATATAAAAAGTGGATGTTTCTTGCTGTCCGGTACTGTACGTTATTTTATACAATTTCTCAGAAACCATCTAATCAGTTGATTGCTGAGATATTATCGCCCAAAGTTTTTTTTTAAAAAAAAAAAATTGTTTAGAAACGGCGCAAATTTTTCCTAAAACTTTGAGCAGATATATTTCAGCAACCACCTAATCAAATTCGATAATTTTTTTATTTAAATTATATATATATTCATACAATTCAAATAAAAAAATTTCATCGAATTTGATCGGGAGGAAGCTAAAATATCTTCGTTCAAAGTTTTAAACATAAAAAATAGAAGCTGCGTCAAATTTTTCCTAAACGTTTAAGCGAAGATATTTCAGCAATTATCTGATCAAATTCAATTAAAAGTTTTTTATTTGAAATCTATGGATTTATAAAACTCAAATTAAAAAAAAAATTCATCAATTTTGATCAGATTGTTGCTGAGATATCTTCGCTTAAAGTTTTAAGAAAAAACTTATAATTTGATATTATGATGAAAAATCATGGTATTCACCTTGATTTTGAAAAGTTTAGTCTTAAGGGATTACTACGCAATAACAAAGACTTTAGAGAACGTATTAAAATTTACTTTGTAAAAATCTAGCTCAAATAAACAAGAACTTGTGGAGTTACTAAATTTTTCGCTCTTGTATTAAGGTGAATTTGATTTTTTTTTTAAAAAAAAAGCTTTGAACGAAGATTTCTTAGCAGCAACCTGAACAAATTCGATGTTTTTTTTTTTTGAATTCCATGGATCAATAGAATTTAAATAAAAAACTTATAATCGAATTTGATCAGATAGTTGATGAAATATCTTCGCTCAAACCTTTAGGAAAAATTTGGCGCAACTTCCATTTTTGATGTTTAAAAATTTTGAACGAAGATATTTCAGCAATCGCCTGATCAAATTCTTGAAATTTTTTTTATTCGAATTATATGCATTTATAGAATTCAAATAAAAAAAAAACCTGAATTTTATTTGGTTACTAAAATATATCAGCTCAAAGTTTTAGGAAAAGTTTGGCGCAGCTTCTATTAAAGATAAACAATTTTTTTAAAAAAAAAACTTTAAGCAATGATATCTCAGCAACCAACTGATCAAAATCGATGAACTTTTTTAAAAAAAAAATTCATAGAATTTGATTAGATGATAGCTGAGAAATCGCATACAATCACATTCAAAAGTCTCATTAATTTGTTCAAATTCGATGAAAACTTTTTTATTTTAATTCTGTAAATTTATAGAATTAAAATAAAAAAAAATTTTATCAAAATTGAATGGATAATTGTTTAGGAATTTTACTAAATGTTTTAGAAAAAAATTAGCTGCAGCTTTTTTCTTATAGGTGCCTAAACTTTGAACGAAGATTACTCGGTATTTACCTTTATTTTAATTCTATAAATTAATAAAAACCCCCCCCCCGTGATCGAATTTAATCAGGTGAGTGCTGAGTAATCTTCGTTCAAAGTTTAGGCACCTATAAAAAAGAGGGCGCAGCCAATTTTTTCTAAATATTTTAGTGAAGATTTTTCAATAACCACCTATCAATTTCGATAATTTTTTATTTTAATTCTATAAACTCAGAATTGGCAGTTTACATCACGTGATCCTAGCTTTTTGAAATTGATTAAAAATTGTGCATGTGGATCGATCCTGAGTCAGCGTGAGAAGTTGTGCTACGAGGATTGTAGAAAATACAGTATACACCTGTGTTACTATTGTTGGGAGAGCGATTGTAATATAAGGTCCGACTTAACTCCAATAGTAAGCTGGAGGGTCTTTGAATATCGTTCGTTATAGCTTGGACACGTGATATGATGTCACGAAACACTTAGATCGGGATCGGGGTTTCAATTAGACCCGATTTGGGTTATTCACGTAATTTAAGGGTAGCGGTAGTCTTAAAGAGTGGCGTTTAGGTTATAATGGTACTGGGACGTGTACGTTATAAGTAATATGATGAATGGGTTTTAAGATAATAATGGATAAAAATGATAAAGTTGATGATTATAGGTTATCGAATAGGGATAATTATAGAATCGTTCACATTGTATTTAATCAAATGAGAATCCGACTCTTATTTTAACTCATTAAAGACATCGAAGTCTGAGGGAAACTTTATTAATGAAAAATGAGTCTTTAAATACATTTTCCAATCCTGTAAATTACTGCGCGAAAGATTTTTAATTCCTTTTAAGCCTTGGCAAGGCTTTCCTGGCGATGCTTCACGGGTTGTAACAACCCGTGTTGGGAAAAGCCTTCTCTAAACATTATTCATAATTATCGTCTAAATATTTGCTACAATTATTGTTCTAAATATTTACTACAATTTTTGTTCCAAATATTTACTACAATTACCAGTCCTTCAGTTCAACGGATGATTCATTATTACAAGAAAATAAACAATAGATAATAATAAATAAATAAATAAATAAAACTTCTACACCTCTCTAATTCCCGTGGCACCGGTATCAGTGTTGGCTTGGCCAGACCAGTTTGATCACTAGACCAGACCAATTTGACCAATTTGACTGGTCTGATCAAAGGATCTGTACTGGTCAAATTGGTCAAATAGAATGTAGTATATATATTATATTGAAAAAATCTATTTGTAACAGCCTGTTACATAATAGCTATTAATTTTAGAGTTAGTGTTAGTGTTAGTGTTAGTTTTAGTGTTAGGATTAGTGTTATAGTTAGTATCAAGATTAATACAAAATTGCGATTATTCTAGTAAAATTTTGAGTTATAGCAAATTTTAAATATAGACTGTTACATAACAGGCTGTTACGAATAGATTTATCCTACTATATTTATATAATATATTTGACTGATTTGACCAGTTTGACCATTTGACCAGACCAATTTGACTAGTAAATTTTTGGTCGACCACTAATTTGCCCAACATTGACCGGTATATATTTTTTATATAACCCAAATTATTGATTTTATAAAAAAAAAAAGTAATATAATCCTGATTACCGTAATCAGTTAAGGCGCACTACTACTATTTGTTGGGCCTTGTTTCAAGACCGGTGGGTCGCCTACGGGCAATGCCGCAACAAAATGGTACGATTCTCGATTTTGATTGGCTAAAAACGAGATCAAAAAATTAGGCCGAATTACTCATAAATTTACTAATGAAATCACAGCTGCCCATTAAGTGAAAATTGTTCCTGGACCAATTTTATTATAATGCGGGCTTATTTTTAAAAAATTAAAGTTAATTCTGGCCGGAAATTAGTAACAATTATGTAATGTGGGCCAAAATTATGAAGATCATCGGCAGTTAGCCAATCAAAATCGAGGATCTGCCGTGACGGTAATAAAAGCAGCAACAAAAATTGTTTTCAATCTTTGATCGAATATTTCGGCACCCACCTGACCAATTCGATCAATTTTTTTTATTTTAATTGTAGAAAGCAATAAAATTCAAATTAAAAAAAAAAATTAATCTAATTTGGTTAGGTGGGTATCGAGATATCTTCGATCAAAGATTTGTAAAATTCTAACGCCTATCAAAATATAAGCTGCGGCAAAAATTGTTTTCAAACTTGATCGAAGATATCTCGACACCCACTTGACCATATTCGATCAACTTTTTTTGTTTTAATTTTAGAAAACAATAGAATTAAAGAAAAAAAGTTCATCACATTTGGTTAGGTGAGTTCAACCAAAGTTATGATCTACGTACATGGGCGTGGCATTATCAAAAAAGATGTGAAATATCAATTCCTTTAATTTATATTACTTATACAAGTCACTTTCGATATAGTAAGTGATTGGGCTGTGAAATTTTCTTTACTATATCGAGGGTCTATTAGTAAATTTTTAAGTAACTTCACTATATTGAGAGGACTTTATAAACCGTTCTTCACTGTACTTATATCATGAGTTACTAACTTATAAATATTTTATTTAAATAAAATATATAGAATATCGGTATTTTAAAATATAATTTATAACTATATATTAACTTGATAACGTTATTGGATGAATAAAAGCTAAACATTTTTTAACTTTGGGATAATTATATAAAATTAAAAATATTAAGATCTCTTGAGATTAATTTCAATAGCAGTATTTGCCGGCGTTCCCTTATTTAAAACATAAATATAAAGGTGCCGCCCTGGTGGCATAATATTAGGGTGTGGTGGTAAAATGACTTCAATAGCATATCCTGATGGTGTTAGCGTTTGACTTTTAATTTGTAAGCTCACATATCGAGCAGACATGTGTTGTGAATGTGTAGCAAAACCATGATTAATTAAAGCAGCAGTAATTTCTGCAGTGGGATCATCCAGATCAATTAATATTTTAACTGTCTCACCATATGTCGTTTGAATAGGTATTATGGAATTAAAGACTGTCATACCCTCGATACTTTTGATGATAGGCCGAGGGGTGCCATTCAAAAGATTTGGAGGAGTAAAAATTTCTACACGATATCTAAAAATTTATAAAGCTACATTAGATTAAAAATAATCTACTAAAAGAAAACCAACAAATTGATTAACTTACTCTGTAGGGTATTCACAGACATCACAATATTGTTCATTTGGGTTACTACCAGCAACAAAAACTGTACCATCTGGAATCAAAGTTGCAGTTGAATGGTAAACACGGATATATTTTGCCTCAGCCATCCTGGTGAAACGAGAACCATGAGGGGCTTTTGGATCATAAAGTAATGGTATTTTTTGAGGTAAACTTGCAGTATGTTGTCTATTGGTAATGTCACCTGAATCTATAAAAAAGTAAGATTTGAAAATTTTCATGATACTATGAGCATTGAAATTTAAATACTACCAGGTATGATATACTGTAGTATTTAAAGATTTAACATACCCCAACCAGCATGACCTATACCGGCGCCATTCACGATAAGCACTTTTCCATCAGGCATATGAATGTAATCACCCATTAAACGTCCTGAATCGAGATCACCAAAAGGTTCTAAATCCCATTTAGGATCAGGCAGGGCTAAATTAATTCTTGCGCAATCTTTATCACCTTTGTCATTTGGTTCCACGCCAGCAGATCCACCACAAGCTACAATTTCGGCGGCGTAATTATTTTCGTAGTGTAATGGCAAAAGAAATACAGTGCCAGTAGCCGGAAATGTGCGTGGACCACCAGGAATATCTGGCAAGGTTTTAACAGTTTTTTGTGCAACATAATCCCAAATTATAGCTTTCTTGTTTGCTGACATATACAATAAAGTTTGATTCAGTGGACCAGGAAGCACAAATACCGCTGGATATAGATTGTATGGCATTCTATATATATATTTTTTTAAAAAAATTTTAACATTAAAAAAATTGTTCGAGCAGCATACGCGAGAACCAAAAAAAAAAAAAGACTACTTACGTATCTATAAGGAATTGGAACTTTACGCTGTTAGATTCTTTTGGAAAAAACTCGTATGAAGGATTGTTGATCGAATGGTTATTAATAGTTGTTTGTATTGTTGCAGTTGTTCCACCAATATTGAAAATTCTACCATCCGGAAGCGTTACCATAGTGTTATACCATCTTGCTTTTTCCATATATTCAGGAAACTCTAACCAATCACAACTGTCATCATCACATGAAGTGAATAAACGAACAGATTGGAGACCGTTCTTTGAACCAAACTGTGTAAAACGGACAAATATAGATTAAATAGAGCTTTAAAAATAAAATTTTTATTTTATCAACTATTTAAAACTTACAGCATCTTCAGCACCACCGGTTTCAACCAATGTACCATTTTCGATGAAAGACCCAGCTGAACAGAAAGTGTTTGTTTTTAAATTAAGAATACGACTTTTGCCTGTAGTTAAATCATATTCTGAGGTGAATGCGTAACTCCCGTCAGGATATACTG